CGAAATGAACAGCCTACTGAATGGTCATCAAAAATTTCAAAAAACTTCATCTTCTGCTAATCCAACCGAACAGATTAAGAAACAACTGAGTCAATAAAAGGCTGAACCAAAAATGTATTTTCTCCTAATGGTTGTATAGGTTACCCAAGCCTACGATTACAATCACACCAAGGTTACACAGGATACCAAAAGTGCACAGAAATGGTTGGGCATTTTTACCAGTGCAAGCCATATCTAACTCGCACTACTACGCAACAATACAATAGTTGATGAAACTCTTAAAGTCTCTGTATAATGGATTGGTAAAGTATAGTGTAGAGGATAGTTTTGAACTTGTTGAAAGAATAAGAGATTTAAACGTGAATGGTAAGTTCATAACATCGTTTGACATTTTTTCTTCATCACAGATGTACCATGACTGAAACAGTGGATTTTGCATGTGAAGAAACTATTAAGCGAAAAACCATCACCGATAATTCTGTATCCTGTATGAAGGGACTTATTTTAAGACGTACAATGAATGTTTATTTCTTGTTCAAGAATGAATTCTATGGACAAACTGATGGTGTATCTATGAGCACACCATTAGGCCCAATCATAGCTTAGCTTTTCCTCTCGAGTTTAGGGAATGGACCATTGAAAGGAATAATGAATGAACTGAAATTATGTTGCCGATATATGGACGACGCATTTTTGATTATGAAAAATGAGAATGAAGTGACGAATATCCCCTGCAAGTTCATCGATGTGCATCCAGCAATAAACTTTGCCACCCAGAAAGACAGAAACGATAGTACTTCATTCTTAGACGTCTTTTTGACTAGGAAAGATGATGGTACATTAGGAAGGAATGTGTATAGAAATCCTACAACGACAGGTTAGTATATTCATTTTATAAGTTTCACACTCCCGAAATACGAACGCAACTTAGTGAAGTATTTGGTTCAAATAGGTAGCGTAACCTGCTCAAATGATCGCCTTAATTAAGAGCTTAAGATTATCAGAAATTTATTTAGTGAAAATAGTTATTCAGAAAAGTTCGGTGGTATTAATATGAATTCAGCGCCAAGGCATGTCAACGTGGCAACAGCTCCAAAGAAGGCGTTGTTAATTAAACTACAGTTCCCAGTGATAAAATCAGTGAAATAGTAACACAGAGTCTAAAGAATGCAGTGAAAGAAGCATTCAGTGCAGTAGAGGTATGCTGTCTCTTCACAACCACTTCAAATTCACATTCAAGAAATAAGGATTTACTGTCTAATTTCGTCCCCATTTTGTGTATCTCCTAGATTCATCGCTCCTACGCAGCTAGTTACATTGAGTATACAATTAGGCATATTCATCGCAGGATTTCCGAACATCATCCCGCACAGTTAAGCAAGGGACAAATAAGATTTTTTTATAGTTCTGTTTTGGCATATCTTGTAGATAGTGAAACGCGTTTCGTTCCGTTTCATCCTTGTAGACAGAATTTTGATCCCGCCTTATCAGGAGTATCCTTCTTGACTCTAAAGCAATTAACAGTTGTGTTTGATCAATTAATTTCACTATTTGCAACCTGAAAATCTATTGGACTATACAGCTGCTGAACAGGACTGTTGGAGCAGTTTAACATTTTTGATATCTTATTATTTCTGAACAGTAAAACAGATTCTGCCACATTAAAATACTTTTGATGTTACTGGAATATAAACTACAGTCTTAACAAGGTTTATTTATCTTTTTACCCAAAACAAACAGATCAGTTAATTGTTAAATGATTTCTGTCTTTTTATTTTCACAAATATGTAAATATATGTTTACACAATAGGGTGCAAATTAGTAAGTAATCAGTTGTTGTCTATAAAAACGTACATATATATAAATATATATATATATAACATAATACCACCGTATTACGTCATACATGAGCACATATTTTTAGCATAGAAAAAAAAACAGAATCAAAAAGTTCTCAAGAATATTTAATAGCCATTTACGTGTTTCATTTATTTTATTCTAAGGATTGTACAAGTTATCATATATATATATTGTTCATCATGAACATGGACGATTGTCTTTGTGGTTATAGTTCGATTCCTGTAGTACTGCGTTCAATTAAGCAGAAGCTAACAGATTTGCTGAAAGTATATACTGGTATCTACTTAAAATAAAGACAAACATTTTGGCCTGAAACGAAAACAAAGAAAAATTATCATAATGGCATTTTTCCTCAAAAATACATCATGAACTAATCATGGAAATCATCGAGTTATAAGTTCCATTTTCATATTGTCTTGATTTCCAAGGTGTATAAGCTACTTAAGATTGAAATTCACGTTCGCCTACTCAGCAGATGGAATTTTATTCTTCACACAGTTACGGTAATCATTTGATTCTAAAGCTACCCTAAGTCACTTTAAAGCTGTAGATAGATAATACTTTGGCTTCATAGTTCCATATTCAATACTGAGACGTAACACACAGGAGCACTGTCATAAGTACCACAATTTCCTGCTTAATGGACAGATGATGACATGGTTTCTTAACTACAAAAGGTAACATATATTTTCATAAAACAAATTAACAGTGGAAACATTTAATCGTGACACCTACTATTATATTCATCCAAACGTTAAACGTCATTCCGTTTTACCCACAGGTGCATCTATGTCCATTGAATGAGTACCACCTACTAGTATTGCTTTAATTTGCTAAAACTCAAGCATGCGAACATTTCTTTTGATTCTGGTCACGAGAAGGCAGCCGACGTTGCTCATAAGTCTTAAGATAGTTTGCTCGTTATAATAGTCTGAGATGTTTGAATGGCAATACATCAATTATAAAATCACTTCCAGTTAGACTGTCAGGCTGTAGACACGGGTGTGTCCGCCTTCCAACTACTCACCTCTCTAAAAACTTTGAATTATATGACATCTTTGTCAGTTCGTTCTAGTTACCATAAACCTTGAGAACTACTGTGAAGTACTCCTCCGAATAAGTTCACTATGCTACATTAAATAGTGATACAGCACTATTAAGCGGATGACTATGCAGATACAGTTTGCTGATTATAATCGAATCAAAGTATTCACATCATTATTATATTTGGGATTGGTGTTGCCTCTCTTTTTTACAACTGATTTGACAACAAAAGACTCTTTGAACGGAGTTTTCAGCTTTGTTGATCCCCGTTCCACAAATGATTCAATTGGTATCATTTTATCTTTCACACAATTACTACTCACGATTAAACAAGAAAAAAACTTTAATAAAAGCGACTTACTTGTTCTAGATGGAAAATTAACTGTTGACCGTTGCTAGTTGTTAGACGTACAGCACCCTGGCAGCTGTAGTCGTTTTCATCTTTATAACTGACCTATCAAATATGACAGTTTAAGTGGATTTAAAAAAAGAGAGTGAACACTGTTAAAGCCTTAATTATTTTCTATCTCAAAAAACTACAAATTTTCAATAGGTTAAAATAATCAAAATTATGTGAGAGGAGAATAATTGACGTGTTGAAACTATCAGGAGTCTTGCAGTCACTGTATACCGACTTGAGTTTCGGATTTACTGAGAATAGATTCCGGCATCAGTGAAGGTATCACTTTAACTACTACAGTTTAGTAACTAAACGAATTTAACATAATCTATATGTTTAATGAGACAGTTTCTATAAGTCTGTCTAACGTCTCGCCACTCCGTCAGTTGTCGATTGTCGTTGCTCTTTCTGGAAAGCTGAAGATAGTTCACCAATCAATTAATAAAAGTAAAAAATAGAATAAATAAAACCAATTTAATCTTTTGATTTCGCATTATGGAATACACTACTGATTGATATGAGTTTCTGGAAACTACTCATATCCAACACTAGTGCTTGCTAGCCAGATCAAACCCATCTAAGTACTGGATGGCTGATAGACTTTGGTAGATAGTAAGTTATAGCAGACTGCTACGATCATATAAGTATTCACCTGAAATATCATGAAAAGATGTTGAACGTGCTAACAAGATATTCAGTGATATTAATTTTAACATAATGTGGTACATTGTTGTATTGTAATACACCTATTTCCTTTAAATGATCAGACTGTAAGCCTTCACAAGATAATTAACATGTCACTAATCAATAACTTTTCATAAAGTCAATAAAAGTAAACTATTCAAGCTGGACGCCATTCATTATTCGTACAATGTTACAATGTTAGTCCTTATCACCTAGCTGTGTTTCATTTATGATTAAAAGGTTGTTCTTATTTCAATTTTATTTTTATTCACTCAACAAAAACATTCCGCAACTAAAAATACCAAAGAGGTGAGGATGAAATTTGTAGATGAAGATCAGCTTCCAGAGGGTTGATAAATCTAAACAGTCACAGAACCAAAGGTTAAGCCTTCACGCTTGCTAATCTCATAAAATCTCACATCAAATATCGATTAGTCCTCAAATCACAGTTTAAAGCATATTAGTAGTTACCATGCCAATACCTAAATTTTCGGAATGTGTTTAAGGCAAAAGAATGACTAAACGTTAGAACTTCCAGTATTGTTATGATGTAACAAAAATACTGAGAAATTAAATTTCATTTCATTGGCTATCATTGTGTATGCTTAAAGTAGGTAAAATATAATCCTATAGTGATCAACTTAAACAGATAATAGGAATAATTTGTATACTATCGAATGCCAAACCGACTATGTTATAGTAGCATATTTCTATTCAGTTATCTGTAGACGTAAGACAGTGGTATAAACCGACTTGCATTTCATTCTACTCTACACACTGAGGTTTTCAGTTCAAATGTTTCCTTTTTCATTACATCAGGTTTACAGTAATGGAAACATGTTACTATTCTTCTATAAGTGAGTTTTATATTATAAAAGACTTAACAATTCTATTTGAGATTCAATCTCATGTTGTATTCATTCATCACAATTCAATTTTTATATCATAAACTTAAAGAATGACATGAAAGAATAGATATCTCTGTACGTTTATGTTTGATTGTATCTCTCACCCTTGTACTTGCAACATCTTCATAGGCGAAATTCTGATAACATTCATTAGATGAAGGATTTAAAATATGAATGCCTGATTTGCCTAAAGCGATAATTACTTCAGGATTTGGTAAACCTTGTGATACACCACTTTCAACAAAAGCAAGGAAACATGAGGATCCAAAAAGTGACCAATCTCTGATTGAAGCTGTAAAATAATCAGTGAAAATGGTATTGTTAGTTTAATAAGAAAAGTTTATAATTCATTTTGAAAAAAAAAATAAATTTCGCGTAATACTTAGTAAAAATTATTTTAAGAGATTTCAACACTGGATAGGACAATTACTCATCATATGAGCTATGTAACCCATTTATTTAAAATAGTCAAGTAATAAGTCTGTGATTAATGGGAATAAAATGTCAGCTTGAAGGCGTTTACTTCAGGAATATACCAATATTCGTTACTACCGAAGTATCAGTTGCTTAAGACCACTACTAAATAGGTTCAGTGTTGATAAGAAATATCTTCTATATCCAACGTATTAATTGACTGACACTAGAATTATGAAACGATCACACAATTTGCAAAGTGAAGATCAGAGGTAAAAATCTGTTGGAAATACCTACTTTTATATTCGTCTATGGGAGAAAAAAACTCATGATTGAGAAAAATAACAATGTATTGGTTTTGTAGGGATTTTGTTTGATTGGCTGGAAGATATCATCATGAGCTAACATCAGTTAGAGAACTAGTGGGAAACCTGGGAGTTCTGGACAGCTGTTTCGCCCTAGTTTGCGATTCTTCACAGTACGCACCCACCGGAGTTCGAGTTCGCCTTGTAAACAGAAGGTACTGGGTTCGAAGCCCGGCGGGTACATTTGACGAGGAGTCCCAAACTAGAACGAAACAGCTGTCCAGTACTCCCAGGTTTTCCAATGGTTCTCTAACTCACGTAAGCTCATGATGAAATCCATGAACCAAAAATAACAATGACCCATAGTTTCACTGTAAAACACAGAGAATGCAACACAGTATAAAAATAATACTTCCCGTAGTTTAGTGGATATGGTATATTATAACAACGAAGTATTAAATAACGACAGTTTCAATTAAAATCTCGGAAACGTCGGTAAACAAGGGCGATGCAGTTCCATATTGTCTTAATATCTTCTATTCTATAGCTTCCGAAGTAGAAAAACTTCTAAAATACCAGGGGGAAAATGAATGGGTAAATCTCTTCTGTCTAAAACTATATACTACTTATTGACTGAAATGAGTAGTCGCACACCGTCTATATCAACCACCAGCTCTTGCTTGATAGATTCAGGTGATCTGAACACTAGACGACCACTTCGCTCGTTTTAGGCTGAAAGAAAGTGAAAATTGTGAGTCTGATTTAAGGTGAGGTTCTGTTGTTAAGAGCTGTGGACTGACTAAACCCTTCAGGCTTAAAACGAAATCGTGTCACTCTTGTGATACAAACGAACGTCGTCCGGTATAGCTTTAATTTTTATTTCAGACAGTCTTAATATATTATTTTCAGGAATTTTGTGATGAACACACCTAAATATATGCCTACATACTCCACAGATGCTGAGACGATAGATACATATTCAGTAGAAAAAGTAGGAGGAGTGTCATTATTTCTTGTATCTAGAATCACCTGTTTGTGGAAGGTAAAACACAACTAAGCACTTAAGAGCATTTTCCGTATAGCCACCTCTGAGTGTTATGTCATGATCTCACCAACAATACCACTACCAGACTGATAGGAGGAAGAAATCGGTTCCAACTTTAGGCTTTCCAGTTAATATACTTGCAAACAGGTAGGTAGTGGATAATAACGACCTTTGTCTTTATGGTATGCATTTGACTTAATGAGCTACCTATTCTATCAGGTTTCCTTATATCAGCTAATGAACAGTACAAGAAACGAAAACAAACCATATTGTTTTATCAGGTTAGCTGCTTCTTATTAACTAGCTACATAGAGCATACATTTAGGAAAACATAAAGTCTTAACAATATTAAAAGACTAATTGACAGACTTCAGTCAACTCTTAGAAATAGACAGCAACGTTCGTTATTACCTGACGACTGAAATGCTGACAATTCATGGATGTATTTTATTATCTAGTGATATAATTTTAAGTCTACTTTAGTTTCCACATAAGATACACTGTACATCTGAATTAGGTAAGTTATGTATGGCTGAAGCGTTAGTAGAAATCTCACTTAAACAATTCAAAATAATTCAGATATGGATTAGAGGATATTCTCAGCACGTTTAAGGAAGTTCTCAGTATTTTCTAATTGAAGATAAAAATCAAGTGGGAACAGAATAATGAGAAAGATTTTCTACAGGCGCATTCTGTTCTTACTCTGAAAGAGAATTAAATAGACAAACCTTTGCAGAAGGTGGTGTTGCTTGCTGCTTGAGAAATACTAGTGGCTACATTTTCTTAATCACAATAATTATAAAAAATACGGAGTAAATACAAACAAAATTTATAGAAATAAGTTGAAATGTATGTTGAAAAAAACGACTTACTTAAAAAGCTTTTCTGATTATCTTCAGGAGTTTTCACTGGGGAAATTTTGAGTAATGCATTTATATCTGATGACCAACTTTCAGTAGAAGTTTGTAAATTCTTTGGTTTCAATGAAGCAGCCACTGTACTGAAATTAAGAATATTTAAAAAAAGTAAAATAAGGCAATCGTGAACACGATAAGAAAAGGTATTTTCCCAAGCCAAAATATATTTAATAAGACAGGTGAAGGTCAGAGTGAATGAACATAGACTGTGCACGAAACGTCCACCTAGAAATCAAGTAGAATTAAAAAGTCTAGAAAAAAGATAAACTATAGCAATACATGCTGTAGACAGTGGATATAAGATTGATTTCAACAATGTCAAAATTCTAGGAATAGGCTTTCATTCACTTAAGGGAAGGCTGACATCTGAAGCCCTGCATATTTTAACCACATTGAATGCAGCAAATAGGAGACAAGGGATATATACTTATCACCCATATAGCAGACTCTAGTGAAACAAGACAGATGAGGGAGAAAACAAATTCAATCCAAAATTATGACCATGTTATGAAATATTATTATGTTTCGATGTGTTTTCCACATAACAAACAACATACACTCAAACAGGCAGATACGCATATATGACAATTTGATATTAGTCATTACGAATATGTGATGACTGTTTACACTTTTCTTTTGGTACAAATATCTACCGACGAGTGACATTCAAAGGAACTGATTTCAATTTATGTAATTTTTTAACTATATAACTTCATGGTTGATAAGATCCGAATAATTCTGCTGAAGAAGCTGCGGCTTACAAAGCGAAACTTTCAGAGAAATCTTGTTTTCAGCGAAGCCTCTCTTCAACGAATTCATTTTCACAGCTGTACAATAGCAAATATACATGGTTATTTTGTATGTGTGTGTACATCAAATTTGTCAGACGAAAAAACAATTGGTTAGGGTTGTTGTAACTAGAGAGGTGAAAATTAGTAAGTTTTTGGTGGAGTTACTCAATACAAAAAAGCATTCAGAGTAGCTGGATGTTGATACAAGAAGGTAGTAACAAAAGTGATGAGTTGTCACAAATGATTGTTAAAGAAGAGTTACGCAATAACATGAATAGTTTGATCAAAGAGTTGTGCTCAGGGTGCATATAGAAATTTTAAAAAATGCGGAATAACGTAAGAGTTTTAAGTAGTTAGAAAAACAAGCAAACAAGCTAAAACTAAGTCAAATCAACACAGTTGTCACCATGATAGTAGAAGTAGTTGAAAAATTTGATTTTCGCTTAAACACGCTGGGATTATTTTAAATAATTTATTTATAATGATCCAAAATATATTTGTTTATACATGTAATTTTTCCTTTACACTGTTTCATTTTCTCCACTCTAATTTGTCATCCTATAGCTAACCATTGAACATTATGGACGGTGAATAACTGTGTCGTAGGAAAATAAAATTCTTCAACAATATACATTTACCACTCTTCCAAATCTTAGCTTAAGATGGACGACGTCTCATCATTCAGACGCTTGATTAGGATTTCGTATCAACATTAACTAAAGTTTGTTAACTTTTAGAATACCATGCAGAATTATTAGGGAGCAACTTTGGTCACATTTAAGTAAATGCAATAATCAGTCAAGAACTCTTATTATCCTTGAGAATTCCATCTCAAAACCATTTACAAAACAACGTCATATAAAACATCTGAGTGGAGCAGACAGACATCGAATTACATTTTATGAAGCATTTTCTCGAAGTCGATATTTGATAAAACGTTGAATGAGGGTTACTGAAAAGTCCTAATATAAGACGAAAAAGATGTTCAGCAATGTTTCATTCACAATTACTACTCTAACAGGGGTGTTTTGTTGTCATTTATAGTATTGCGGTCAGTACTATAACCACACTAAATACAGTTTAATTTCCTAAACAGATCAAATTAGCAGACTGAGATTTTATTATTATTTTATTATTACTTTACGTGCCCAGTGGGACATAGGGCTTCAAACTAGAGGCTATAGTCACTAGCCTCATGTCCAACCTTCCCTCTTTACCAGTCTTACTACTGGCCTAGCGAGGTCAAGGAGTGCGTCAGCCGGGGATCGAACCCCGGACCACCTGCGTGGTCGGCGAGCACTCTACCGCTGTGCCACCAACGCACTGAGATTAGCCTTCTGATAAGGATTACTGAATTCTCAAATAGGACAAGGAAACTGTTTAATTTTCTTCAGCTTTCAATGACTTCTTAATTTAATAACCCCATCATAAAAGTGATATTTAAACTTCAAATTTAAAGTTTATTAAAACCTCGCCTCACTGCAAAATAAACTATGACTGAACAGAGATAGTTGTCATAATCACTAGTATTGATTTTATTTTGTTTTGTTTGCTCTATGATTTTGTTATAAAACTTTCTATCACTCACTTTTACAGTGTCATGATAAACTTAAAATCAAAAGAACACATTTTTTTAGTGTTGATTTCTAGACATGGGGTATTGACAGGCTATTAAAGTTGTAAACATCACTATTACTTCAAATTTACATAGCTGATAAGCATAGCTAAATTTCTTGACTTACCTACTAACAGATAAAGACTGGTCTGTAATCTGATGTAGCAGACACGATAGATGAAGGCATTTCTTCTACAATAAGAGAAATAGTTCAGTAAACTTCTTGGTAGAATAATAGTGAAAGCGTAAATCAATGCTATTTATCATTAATACTTACATATAGTTCATTTGGATCATAGCTTTGTCCATCAGGTAACCAACGGCCTGCTAGATATCCTTCAACAACCTGAAATAAGAGAGATTAGGAAACAATCATATTCGAACATTTAAAGGAAAGAAAATCAAGTCATTGGTGCTTCAGGTATTTACATATAATGTCAGAGTTATAAGTCAGTTGATAGAGAGGATTGTTTGGCATGGAAATGTCATTACCAAATACTCCTCATTTGGGTATATCTATAACATTCCGGAAATGTAAGTCTAAAAATCGCTTGTTAATTTGTACTGCAAATATGTAACAATTATTCTAAAAATGATAACATATAAAAGTATGTGCAATTCAAATGAAATGTTCCTTTAACAGTGCTCCATGAATCCTCCATGGCAAAATTCTTCATAAGACTTTTAGAATCACCTCTGCATTGTCTACCAGACTTCATTTAAAGTTAAGTTGATTGTATAATGCATTAAATAATGCGTAGGAAGTAGTTTCGTTAAATTCGGTGTTGCAATGATTATACAAACAGGAATCATCTCATCGCTGACGAAGTTAAAGCATTCTTATTTTAGCTTCGTAATTGTTATCCATCAACAAAGTGTTTATAAAGTCCCGCAGTAATCTTACGATTGATTTTATGCATGCAATCACTATCTGGAGACAACTTGTTGAAATAAAATATCTCTCAGTTAAATGCATTATGAATATGCGGGTGCTAAATGTTTTAAACGTTACTTTATTATCATGTCTGACAGTCTGTTAAGACAGCTTAGGTCTCCGTATTCGCAATATACATAGCGATAACTTATGAATAAATTCAGTAGGGCTAAATTTTCATCCATTAGACTAAGAAACTTAAAAAACACTCTTCATTATGTCTAACAGTGAAAACTATGATCAAACCTAATAATGAACTGACTCCATGCTTTTCACTTATGTTCACACACTTAAACAAGAAAGCTTCAGAGAGTTGAATCCATTGAAGTTTCCCCAATCAGGTTTATTATTGAGTATCAAGGAAAATAAGTAGTGAGGTGAGATTCATCTCGTAATCTAATACTTGTTCTATGAAACTGAATAAATGTTACTCTAAGAATTCATTTTCTTCGCCTAATAAATTTTTGCCAGTACTCCAATAAAGTAAAATTCTTTGAGCAATGAAATGAATAATGACTTAAGATACAGCAGAAAATATCTGGATAACTACTTAGCTGCAAAGTTTGAAGTGAAAGGATTTATTTTAAAGTGACTAAGAGACAGTGAGAAGCTGTTGCATCCATGGTTTTTAACGAATATTTCATTTATCCTTTTAGATGTTAGCCAATATGGGAATCGACTTTGAAGTCCATCAACACCAAAGATACATCCAAAGTAACCAACTATAAAATTACCTACATACAGAATGCAAACTGATAGTCAGTGTTGTCAGCCAATCTCGAAACTATCTTACCAATAATACTGCATAGCGCTTAGGCTATGCTGAGAGTGTACAGTGACTGGAAATCACAGGACTCTAAGTAACTGCAGTCAATTACAGGGTAGTAGGTACCCATTGCTGAAATTATTATTGTTCATTTGAACTATTTTTATGTGATATGTCAGTACAAACTAAACAAGTCTGCACCTTTATAAATGACCTATTAGGAGGGACAATCACAACAAAGCTTTGGTGAAACTTTGATAAAAGTTGCTTCAAGATAATTAAAGGCTGCAAAGACGATTTTAGATATTTAGGCTGCAGCCAAATAGGTACCAGAAACCACCAGGACCCACCTCTAAAACTAAACACATGATTCGCGCACTTATTTTCTCAGCCATAATCATATAGTCTAACCAGTCCAGATGATCATTAAGATGAAATTAAGAATCACTTGTGTTATAATTTTTAGAAATTTTTCGAACGTGATCAAAAATCACTAATAAAATAAACCAAAACAAGTTTTAAATGCTCTCTTGTCGTAGGAAATATCAACATTAAAATTAGAACCTGAAGATTATCTATTCAACTGTGAGTTCATCGTGCTTATTGAAAAAGTCCTATTCACTGCCCCTGAATGATACTCGTTTTGTTCGAAAAAGCGTAAAAATGCGTGTAGCTGTTTATTCACTAAACGTAATTTAATCATATGAAAAGTATGCTAATGAGATTTTCATTTGACGCATCCTGTATTCAGTTCTGTGTCATACCCTTGGAAAAGATGTCTGAGTACTACTCTCAATCCCTGTTTACCTACTGGTTTTATATTTAAGCCTTTACGGGTACTATGGTGTAACATTTCTGATTATTATTGTTCCCTTGGTTTACGAGTGAGATTTGTAGGGCTTCAACAACACATTTCCATATTGTCCTATTCTTTGCAGTCCTCTTTAGTGAACCCCACGTTTGCCCATAGTCTCTCACCTCCTCTTCACACGATCTACTCTATGTCACCATCGGAAGCCCAACTCGTTGTTTCCGCTTTGTGTTCTACTCAAGGACCTGGAGCGCAATTTCACTCAACAGTCCCTTTAGAGTGTGTCCGATCCATTACCATTTACTTCTACAAACTTCTCTAGCAATAGGCTCTTCACTGGTTTGCTCCCAGAGTTTCTTATTGCTAATTCTTTCCGATCATCTTCAGTATGCAGCGAAGACTGCTGTCAGTAAAAGTGTGAAGCCTGTTGGAAGTGTTTTTTATGATGAGCCCTGCACGTTTCTGACCTATATTGAAAAATGACTTAACAATTGTGCTGAAAATCTCATCCTTTGTGCTGAAATTGATTTCAAAGAGTTGCAGTTGTACCTCGCCTTTCCTATTCTGGCTTTTACATCATGACACATTACTCAGCCAACATTTCTTACCCTTTAAAGTTATTTCTATAACGACAGTCTGAGATAAAGGATAGGTTCAACCAAAAAAAAATAAAAAAGCACACCGTAAAATATATAAAGAAATTTCTACTCACTTGATCAAATAGAAAGTCCAAATAAGCACGAGGAATTTTGTGTAATTCCAATGGTGAAGTCCAACATATTCTTCGAAAATGAATTACCAGATTATCATCATAGATTGGTGCATCTAATATATACGTGTCCATTTGTAGGGGAATTAGTGGTTCATTCTCGAAAGCTATTAAATGTTAATTTAAAATCAATTTGTTTTATCACCTATACACACTTCAAAATATATTAAGGAACAAGTCCCGAAGGAGTATATTTTGATATTTATTAAAGTGATATAAATATTTAACTACAGTTACATATACCTTGCAATATAAAGTTAATAAAATTGGGCATGTCATTAAATATAAAAACGAATACATGTACTCTGAGTTTTTTCCAAATTAATTACATTAAATATGCAATGAAATTTCATATTTTACAAATAAAACCATAGTGAAAATTTAAATTTAATTTTGTGATCCTGATTGAAGCATGAATTATGATTCTTTATCAGTCAATGATTCGACAGCTTTCAATAGTTCTCTCACTGATATCATATGAGGAAGAGATCTAATTTGAATAACATAAATAATTTTAGTTTTATTTGAGAATACACACATTAAAGTTCGTTAAAAATGTACTTGTTCAACTTCAATTTTGATATCACTTATTTGTGAATTCACCTATTGAGAATGTTTTTGGAGTATACTTATGATGAATTTACATACAGACCAGTAAATAAGCAACAGGTGATTTCGGATACCTACAGGCTATAATGAGATAACTATGAATCATAATTTTGTAATTTTGTTCTTAGTAAACAATCACAAATTCTAGCAATTTCAGAATATTCAGTGTTCTCCAATATAAACGAAACTTTCAATCCAAAAACTAGTTGTTATAAAAGGAAGAGATACTGTTATTTTGGTAGATGGTGACTCGTAGTGAAATCCAGGGTATGGATTTCGTCCTATGCAGCTGGACATACCTGCATCCCCAGAGAGTATAGTGTTCCCCTGTATTCACCGTTACAAGTCCTACAGCATCACTAACCAGACCAAAAAAAGCCACTAGAGACACCTTTTGTGCAACAGAAACCAGTCATTATTTTCTTTTTTAGGCTGAATTCGCATTTTTAGTTGACAGATAATGTTCGGTCTCTCTTGTCATGTTGAACTCTAGCATGGAAGCTTTGACCACGTCCGAGAATTAAAGTGATGTTATTTTGTTAATTCTTGTATGTCAACGAAGCGTTTGTACTAGAGGCCTACAGAGACCGAACATTTCCGTACAATATGAACAGTCAACAGGGAACACAAACTTGGAAAAAGAATAGAAGATTTTCAGCTGACGTGTCCGTGCACTAATTACATTAACCATCTTGGCCGATAAAGTTTGTGTACATAATAAGTATTTCCACGGAATATAATCCACTTACTGACAACGTTCAATAAAATGTTCGCCTGACAAACACTTAGATTTTTTCATCCATATGAATTTGTTCTCTGTATGTAATTCAGAAATATACGACACCCTCTCACTAGAGAGAAATATACTGAGAAGAGGGTAACACTTGAAAATGTATTTTACGGTGACTTTTCATTTTTACTATATAAGTAAAACACAATTGGTAGGAACCATTGCAATAACAAACTCGGCTAAAGTGCCATATGATTTCTAAACTGAAAGCTTGTAAAAAAATATTTGATTTGCAGGCTTCAGTATGTAATGAGTATAAAACCACATGAAATTGGTGGTTTCCCATTATTTCTTTTCCATGAATTCATTTCAGCCAGCCTGTACAGTCGTATTTATATTACCTACAAGACATTCAGTGGTGCTATAATGTGCTCACTCAGCACACTGACGAAAAAACTAATCAATATGGTGGTTAAAGAAGGCAATTGAAGTGAATATAACAGAAGACATTTGTTCAAGAAAAGGAATGATATTCCAAAATATAAAATACGTGAAGTATCGTCAAGAAACCTGAGGTTATAGTGATGATTAGTGATGGATATGTAGACGTTCAGAGTGAATAAATTTAACTCAACAGATAACACTGAAAAATAAATCGCAGTGAGATAAATAAACTGGAGACGAAATCTCACATCCCACTTCGTCACATGCTAGAAGTAGACAATAATAAGTAGTACTTTATTTCAAAAGCACATCTGGAAATAACATTCTCTGCTAGCGAATACTGGGGAGCCCATTGAATAAAACAACTTAGTTTGTCTAATACTATGCAGTGAGAGTGTGGAGTTAAATACAGAGGTCAGGATAACAGATCAGGATCAATAAGAATAGCGGGGCACAAAACCCTATAGAAATCTAGAACATTACACTCTGATAAGGTCAGAAATCTAGACAGATACTCAGCTATAGCACTGCGTACAGTTACATGCAATGATACAATAGTATGGGAGGAAACATCTTTAAAATCCAATGTAAAAGAGTGGAGGGATATACTCACAAAACAAACTTTAATTATCGGATCAGCTGAGAATCCATACAACAGAAATGACTCAAAATGTCTTGGATATCCAACAAATTTCCAATCCCCCTACCATAAATGGGGAAATAGTACGGTCATGTTCCATGTTACTGTGTGAGGTTAACTGTGTTCGAAACTTCATTCAGTAGATAACACTATTTTATAGTTATATATATATATAGAGAGAGAGAGAGAGAGAATAGACGTATTAATATATGTGTAAAACTTGGGCAGTGTGGTAGTAAGTAATTCCATATTAGTTTGTTTATTGGATGTATCACACAGTGAAACAGTATTATTTACTGGATGACGTTTTGAACAAAATTTATTGCTCATAATCATATCAGTTGTAATCACACGACTTCAAAACTTGAGTTTTATAGTTTTCTTTGTCTTCTCCTATTTGTCGTTTGGGTAGTAGAATTTTCCAGATATCTGGGACAGGTGTTGAATCGTTCCTATTACACGTGTTTGCAGTTGATTCGATAAACAAAGCTTCTGTTATCAATCTCTCCCTCCAACCTGTGACATTAGATTTTAAAACTGTCATCCTATCCCATCCTATTGTATGGTTGTGTGTAACTGCATGTAGTGCTATAGCTGAACTATTCTCTAGATTTCTTATCTTATTCGGGTCAATCAATCTAAATTTTGCTAGGTTTTTATGTTCAGCTAGTCTGACTGCCCCTGTTCTACTAGTTTGACCTATGTATTTGACCTGAAAATCAATACAGGGTATTAGATAAACTAAAATGTTTTGTTTTAAAGGCTCCACAGGATCCTTTAACCGACAAAGCTTGTTTCTAATTGAGTTTGTGGGTTTGAATGACACTTTTATTCCTGCCTTGTTAAGAATTCTGCGTAAGGTTTCTGAGTTTCCTTCCTTGTGTGGGATAACTACTGATGATTTAGATTCCTTATTGTTGGCGTTGTCTTGCACAATTTTACATGCATGTCGAACTATGACGAACTATTATGAATTAAAAGTAATTAGTCGGTTCCAAAAGGATTGATAAGATAGTGATAACTTACTGTCAGCTGAACTACTTTTAGTAGTAATAAATAATGCAAAATCACTGGTCGAAGCGATTAGATTTGCGCCAAGTTTATTGATCACATGGTGAATAACATCTTGAATAAGTAATAACTGTCCCAATGGTAAAGTTGTACTTTTTTTGTTAGGAAAATATATCTCTTGTTTATGCATTATATTTCCACCCTGAAATAAAAAGAAAATGTTTTGTTAATTAGTTATACTATCCAGAATATAATCATGTACTTGGTTGGCGTTCGATTCCCTGCCGCCGCATTTGTAGACCACCTAGTTTGCTAATCAGTAGTAGGCCTGAAAACGGTTGGGTGTAAGGCTAACCAACCTATTCCTTAAAAACAAACACCACTACTACCGACATTTCAAGAGCCTGAGGCTCTGTGATTTACTTGGAAGGTAGTAAATGGAAAAAAACAGGACACAATAGGCGAAACAACGTCCATTACAACAGAAATACACTCCTTTGAATGGCGGGCATTTAAAAAATATGAAAAATATTATTGGCAAGAAACAGGCACCAACCAATCCTTTCATATCTCATCCGAGTGATACTTTGGGTTTTATTAGTGTTACCTCCACCAGAATTTATTAACAACTAAATAAATCTTTATCCGCTACTACCATGCTCTTACTCCTCTAATCGTCAAAACCATTTAGATTATTTCATTTATCCAAGGCAAAACTCAATCACAAAAGGTTAGTCCAGTTTTCAAAGATATTAAACTGCCTAAGTGAAAGGTATTATAGCTAAAAGTGCAATTCGCCCTCCACTTGATTAGAATTTCGCTTCAGAATGCTACTGAAATAAACTTGGTAGACCGTTCAGAAACTGAACAGCGGACCTTTGAACAGATAACACATAATTATATCGTTTGAATCCATCAGAGCCCTGAACATCCTTTCAGATCCAGTCATCATCAGTGAACAAAATTCCGTACTGGTAGATTGTAACTTGTATTGTACCCTCATTGTTTCTTTGCTTTCTTCCATTCAACATAAAAACCACCGTTCAGTGTTGTTTTAATTGACAGGCACATTTCTTGGGCTGCAAACCCTACTGACTGCTAGTTCACAGCTATCGTCTCTAAGGTTATCGACACACCAAGCTAGCGTTGAATGTCTGACTTGTCTATAACCTATCTTCATGGGCAGACACCAATGTATATTCCTATACTTACTAGATGAGACAAACAGGCAATCCTTATCCAGTGTTAATCTTTTCAATCCAGCATATTTTCAGCTTTTGAACTTCAATATTTATATCATCTTGGATCTATTAAATGTTGAGATACACTCAAGAGTGATGTTCAAAACCAGTCGAAAGTAACAAAAAACAGTTGCTGGATTAAATTGATATGATTATCCTTTAAATACTTTTTTCTTACCAAAATGGATTGTAAAACATCGTCGGGAGGCAAGTATTTTCTCGGCCCGAAACGTGAAACAATCTCCATGTTTTCAGCTATTGTATCTAACCAAGCTGTTGAATCACAAGAAAAATCAGACATTTTATAAATCCTTTTTTCTTAAAAGTCCACTAGCAAATAAAAATATGTTTGAGGTGCGAATAAATATCTTAGTTATAGGATAACCATTTCTAACCTCCTAAACGATGAATCAGATTGAGACAAGAATTTTAGTGGGTGTAATGGTGGTTCAATGGTCTAGTGGATAACTCTTTGCTAGCGTCAGTGGTTAGGCGATACTATAGTTGGCAGCCACACAAATGATCTGGGTTCAATTTCAGGCAGTCGTACTCCTATACCTCGTCTAGCCAGTGGTAAGCCTGTAAAGGACGCACGCAAGGTTGAGCGTGAGGCTAGCAAACGCATCCTGAAAACGTAATACCACCGCTAATGAAAGCTTAAAGCTTGAAGCCATGTGTTCCACTTAGAACGAAAAGAAGAAAAGAAGGATTTTAATCCGTGATCTGTGGATTACCGGCCTACAAATCATCCACTGAAGAGGGAAACCCATTTTCTGAAGACTTTGTAATTAGGTTTCAGTCACCGGTTGTGTTCAGTGTTTGCCATAATTTACATCTATTATCATCACACAAGTTCTCTAGCCAGTTTTTCTAATCATTTCACGCACCTCAATCAACAATCATCCATTCATTTTGCGACTCTACATGAAAATATTAAATCTAGTTGTCAGCAAATTAAATGTATACAATTTATTCTTCATCAGATAAACTTGGATATTAAATATTGGTTTGTAGGGATTTGACTGATTAGTTACAGGATTTCATCACGAGCTGACATCGGTTAGAGAACCATTGGAAAACCTGAGAGTGCTGACTTAATAGTCTACAAGCTCGTCTGCCCTGCAACCAAAAGGTCATTGGTTCGAACCATGGAGGTGGGTGCGCACTGATGAAGAGTCCAAAACTAGGACGAAACAGCTGTCCAGTACTCCCAGGTTTTCCAATGGTTCTGTAACCTACGTCAGCTCATAATGAAATCATGTAAACAAAAGAAGAAAAATTAACTTAAAGATCATCTAAAAGCGTTTTTTAGGTGAGCAAAAGCACTAATTAGATACCGATGGAGACTCCGTCCAAAAAGACAACTAAATAGTTAGTCACAGATACTTAAATTTCACGGTTCTACAAATAAGTACAGATTCAAATCTTCTATATACATATATATATATATAGAGAGAGAGAGATGTGTCCAAAGATGCATGAACTTAAGTCATTATGATACCTTTGATGAATGGAAGAGAAATCCCTCTTAAAGATTTACACCCGTTATAATTGAAAACAACTGTTCTATTTGAAAATCACTGTCTACTGTTACATGATCATTGAATTTCACATTCAAGAAGGGAGGTTGATGAATAAAGTTTAGACATACCTTTTAATTTTGGCTGTTGAATATCATTTCTAAATGCAATATACTTAATTAAATATGGTCTGAGCAAATCTGTAGTTGGAATGAAGATCGACAGTAATTTCCATAATAACCAAGTTAGTTCACAACTGTCACTAGAAAATAGAAAAAAATCAAGGATGTCAAATATATCACTAAACTAAATGAATATTCTACTGATTCACATCAAAATTAACATAATATGCAGTCGATTCTACTGCCTTAGAGTGTGAGTTAGGTCTTTTACAGATGACATTTCGCTCACTGATCGTGATTTCCTTGTTTTATGTTCTCAATTACTTCAATAAATATGTAGAGATTTAAAAGGTTTTGTATAACAACAAAACTCATAGCATACAATAAGAAATACCAGAACCTATCATCAAAACACTGTCTATCATGACCAAAAGGAGTTAATTTAAAAAATGATTCATAAATAGTGGAAATCTAGATCGCTACCATGAAGAAAACACTTTCACTAATGAAAAATTTCGATAATATCAATCAACTAATGCCGGTGAAACCTGTGAATTCACTATGGGTAAGATTTTATTTTGATAAATCACACAGTGTTGTACTGTAATATTAACTGATGACGTTTCGAGTATAAACTATTGCTCATAATCATATCATATGATTTATCAAAATAAAATCTTATCTATGATGGAGTTATGCTCTACCACAGTACCCAAGTTTTATACTTATATCAAACCTATGAATAGCTGAAATAACCAATCTCCTTTTTCTTTACAAAGACAAATACTGAGTCTATAAGTTATCACCCTTGTGAAATGAATACGTTGCACAATTTTTAGATTTTTAACTAATTCTGAGAATTTTCCAAAAATGCTACAAGTTTCACATAAACTAGCCTAGTCTCGAACCCACATATTTTTTATTTTATTCCTTTACGTTCCCAGTGGAACAAACGGCTTCAAGCTAAAGGCTTGAAGTTTCGGTAGCAGTGGTAATTATTTTAACGGGATGACGTTGCTAGCCTCATGCACAACCTTTCCTCTTTATCAGTCTTACAATTGGTTTAGCGAGGTAAAGGAGTGTGTCGGCAAGGACCTGAACCCCGAAACACCTGCGTGGTCAGCGTAGTTGCCACGATCCCACATCAGTTAGACATAAATGAAAGCCAGTGAGCACTATTTCGTTCTAGTTTGGAAGTCGTAGCCAGTGGAGTGTACCATGTCAAAGTTTAGTGGATGCTTGTCAGATGCGCCGGTTGAAGGTGGAGCAATATCACGAATTGACTGAAGTAGACTTCATGCGTCACTGAATTTCGATCCAAGTGGCTGCATGGTCAACAAGTTTGATCTGGTGACTTGAAGGCCCCAGGCTAGTCCCCTGATGGGGTAGAAGGTGTGCACTGCTGAAGAGTTCCAAATTCAGAAGAAACAGCTGTCCAGTGCACCCCAGCTTTCTATGATCAATAACTGATGCTAGTTCATGAAGAAACCTGCATTAAAATTAAGTTTTACTGTTTATCTCCTTTGAAGAACAATATTTCCCTGGTTATCCATTGGTCGCCATACAGATCCTGAAAAAGATTTCATAAAATCTATTTCTTTTAGACTAAGAAAACACAGTGAACATTCACTCAAATTGTACCTAACAGTGTAATGCAAATATCAACACTCCACGAACTAAGAAAGAGTAGACTCAAATCACAAATGACTTTCATGGGTATCTAGAACAATTATGTATTTATATCCATATAATTTTTCAGTTTAATAAATGCTTACACAGAATAACTGAATATATTCACTATATTAAAGGTTTTTGTATTTCCCAATGAATGAAAAACAAAACGATATGTGCAAATCTTTAATGTAATGTAATTCATATTTTTCATCGTTCAGGTTGTAACCAGTTGAGAAGAATCCTCGAAATAATAAAAAATGAGCTCATATTATCCTGGTACAATTGTTGTTCTTGCTTTGTTTAAGTTTATTAATGGGAAGAATTGCATGAAGATATTGTTTTTACTGACGTTTCGCTATTTAATGCTAATAGCTCTATCAAAGTACTATTAAACCGGAATTTACAAAATCTCAGCATATATATAACCAAAATCTTATGTACCTTCAAGATTCTACGGTCAACCAAAGATACATAAACCCACAATTCCATTAAGACCAGTAATAGATTTCACCAACTCACCGACATACAACCTATCTAAATACTTACTCTCGATACTACAACCACTACAAAAGGACACTCAAAATATTGTAAGAAATTCATATGATTTCAAATCCCAAATAGAACACCGAGAAATTGATAAAGAAGACATTATGGTAAGCTATGATATTAACTCACTGTATACTAGTATCCCTATTACCAAAAGTTTTCATATCATTTCCAGTCTACTAGAATCAGATAGAACGCTTTCACAAAGATGTCCACTGGACACCAGTGAAATAATTAAGAGCTTAAAATTCTGTCCAGAAAGTAATTATTTTACATTTAAAGGGAGTTTATATAGACAGACAAATGGTGTTGCTGTGGGTTCACCAGTCTTTCAAATAGTCGCCGACCTTTTCATGAATAAATTCGAAAATAACATCGTTACGCCGATCGTTGATCGCGTCAATCAATTATGCACTGCATAGACAAGCCCAATAGAACTCATCTCGCATACAAGACCAGCCAAACGTATTATTGTATGCAAAAGTAGCACGCATAGCAACGCTATAGTGACAAAAGGCCCCTATAAACGAAGCCTGCAGCCACCAAATTCAATGAAACTGTCATCCCTGCCAACCAATTTAGCATGCAAATAGCTTCTATACGTCTACCAAGACTATAGAAAACCATACATAGTCATATAAGCGAGCAATGAGAACTGGTCAACTCATGCTCATATCGCATATACAGCTTATGCTGTGTTTACTATAGGATTTTTAGGGTTCTAAGCTGACAGCCTAGCAAGTGCGCTGTAGGGCCTACACAAGCTCAGAACCCTATTGTCATAGATACCAAAACGCGTTTAACGCATTCCTCTATCATTTGGAATGGTTTTTGAAAGTTTCAATTTTTTGACATTCTGGACCCGAGTTAGGGGTAGTATCCCTATATATATCGTCTATATATATATATATATATATCCCTATTATATTGAAAATAACATCTTTTCAAGAATACTCACTCCTAAAATATGGTTAGGATATTTAGATGATACTTTTGTAGTTCTAAAACGAGATCTACACAATTCATTCCTGGAGAAAATAAACGGTGTATCTCCCAGAATCCAGTTCACTTCGGAAGCAGAATCAGACATCGGTGCACTACCATTTCTAGACTGCCTAGTTAAGAGGAGGGAAAACGGATATTTTAGTATATCCATATTCAGGAAGAAAACCCACTCAAATAAATATTTAGACTTCAGATCATCACACCCCATCAGCGCAAAGGTATCAGTTGTTTCAAGTCTTCTTAGACGAGCACACTCTTTGATGTTAATGGATGAGAAAGAAAAAGAAGAAGAAATATCAAACATTACTGAAACTCTCAAGTAAAACAACTACCCAAGGAACTTCATCAACAAAATCAACACATACATTAAGTATGGCCGAAAACGCATTCCGAAAACATGGACCTCGACAGTCGTCATCCCATATAGAGAAGAGACGTTAGATGATATCAGGAGAGTACTCAATCAGCTAGATATTAGAGTTTTCTTTAAAACATCAGACACACTACGAAACAACCTTGTCCATATAAAAGACCAGATCACTGAAGATTCTCTATCTAATTGTGTCTATAAAATAAAATAAAATGTTTGGAATGTGATGCGATATACACAGGATAAACATTGCCAGAGAGAAATCAAAATAAGAAGAAATGAACACCATAGAGCATCTATTCGACCACCGAGAAATCCAATTGAACTGAAAAAATTTGAAAAATCATCAGCCATAGGTCTACATGCCATAGAATCGGGTCACAAAATTGATTTTGACAATATTGAAATAATCCAGAAAAACTTCAGAAATCATAAAGAACGTCTAATGTCAGAAGCACTTCATATCAAGTGGGATCCAAATTGCCTGAATAGGAATGATGGACTAAAGCAGAATCTTACCAGGTTACAACACCTCCCTCCCCCATGTAGTGACAAAATCAACACGAATGTGATATGCAAGTTCACTATGTAAACACACACTGCCTTTATAATTTTAAACACTGGTCAAATCCAACAATCCACACTTGATTTTGTTATCTTTACCAGCTGATCAACTTGACAACGAAAAATGACCCCAGACTAACGAACGATGATCAAGTTTTGATACCATAACAGATGTACTATTACCTTAGTTATTTTGTTTAGTGATCTTCATTGGTATTTTAACTTTCAATATGTCCTTTTAACTTGACCTAAGTCTATTTTCTCACCCCTTAACTCTTTGTTATATATATGCTGAGATTTTGTAAATTCCGGTTTAATAATACTTGGATAAAGCTATGCGCAGCATTAAATAGCGAAACGTCAGTAAAAACAATATCGTTTTGTTTTTCATTCATTGGGAAATACAAAAACCTTTATTATGATGAATATCATATACCCAATGCCCAAATTTTTCCAAACTGTTTAAAGTGAACTTGGTTTGGACATATTTAACTGAATTTATATTTAGTTTTTACATATTTCTCAGGCTGATAAAAGGTTCATAGTGATAGCTCAAAAGCAAATTAGTTAACTGCATATGCATTTATATACACACCAAGGGAGAAAGTAATTGTTGAAGGATTGCATTGATTCATGTCATGTCCGATATTGTGGAGACAATGATTTCAAACATCTTCAAAACACTGATCGTCTAAGGCAAGAGCGAATTTAACAAAGTGTGTTCTTGTCTCATGAAATATGTCTTGCAACAAGATGTCATGAAGTTTATCAAATGTGATAAAGTCTTGAAACGGGTTAGTTACAATTCTAAGTTTGTGTGGGGTTGGAAATCCGCCTCTCATCATATTATTCTTATGAATACATACTACTTTTTAGCAGTTTTAACGACTCGGGTGAATATTGCCATTCAAAAGAAACATCTGCACATGATACAACTGTTAGCCTCATCTTACTATTTAAGATCGAAGTGGCTAAATATAGCTACTTATTGTTTACAATTATAGGCCAGCTTTTTGTAAAATTGAACGAAGATGGATTCTATATCAAGGAACAAAAGCATACAGTAAGGACGAAATGCATATTTCTGAAAGATACTTTGCATATCATACCTTTTAGCTTAGCTGACACATACTCTACATTAGAGATACATTTTGATCACTAATACAAATTGAAAACCAAATTTGGTTACCATGATCATTTTGTTGTTAAGTGGATGTGTTGATTGTTTAAAAGCTTGAGCATACATGATATTTTGGCTAGTACAATCCTAACATTAAAAGTACATTTTAAAAGACTATACAAACCTAAATTATCATGTATCACCTTAAATTCACATATGTTTAATAAAATCATATTTGATTCACGATAACTTTCTCTGAGGACAAATACTCGCCGAAGATATTGGCTAGCGGTTGTGCTATATAGTGAATTGGCAGAAGTTAGAATTCATGCACTGGCCATTGGATCGGGTCCCAGTGGCTTAATGGTATCCGAGCTCGCCTTGTAACCAGAAGGTCCTGAGTTCGAACCCCGGTGGGTGCGTACTGATGAAGAGTCTCGAATTAGGACGAAACAGCCGTCCAGTACTCCTAGGTTTTCCAATGGTTCTCTAACCAATGTCAGCTCATGATGAAATCCTGTAACCAATCAACCAAATCCCTACAAACCAATACTTGAATACCAGTATAACTGGTCATTTATACACAGTAGCTTCTCAATATTCATAAGATGATAACTTAAATGGTTATGACTGAACAACAACACTTCAGTTGAATTCAGTGATATTCAAATATTGTTTGTAGGCATTTGATTGGTTTCACGATTTCATCATGAACTAACATCAAATCCCTGTAAACAACACTTGAATATCAGTCGGATGCTCACTAGTCACTGACCCTACTCCGGTAGGTAATCACCTAGGTTCTAGTGAGAAGTCGTGACCAGTGTGGTACAGCCGGTCGGCTGTGAGGACAAATACTTTCTGATGACATTGACTAGTGGTTACACTAGATCGTGAATTGGCAGAAGTTGGAATTCATGGACTGTTGAATCGGATCCCAGTGGCCTGGTATTTGTAGGGTCCTGGGTTCGAACCCTAGTCAATGCGTACTTCTGAAGAGTCCTAAACCAGGGTGAAACAGATGTCCAGTACTCCCAGGTTTTCCAACAGTTCTCTAACCGATGTCAGTTTATGATGAAATCCTGAATTCACTGAGTTGAATAACATTTACAGCTTTGTATAAAGAGTAGAATTCTTAATGCGTAAATCAAAAATAACAAATCAGACTCTAAATTATTTTGGTTTTAGAACAAAAATATGTACTAGCAATGTAAAAATCTAACATTATTTCATGACTTTTACAAGAATAGTTTTAATAAAACCACTATTCTGCTTTTGTAGCTATGTATAGTACTTAACAAATATTTACTTCAAATACCTAATAAACTCATTTTGCATGTTGATCCAACACATGAGAAAAAGAAAAAATAATTTTCAGGGATTATTTATGTTGAAAAATACAAACAAAAAATCTTGTAAAGAAATCTAAGTGTTGCTAGAATGATACTAGCTGCCTCTTAAGTTTAATAGAAATTTTTAACACCGAAATGCTGAACGTCAACATGATTTACAATTACCCATGGAATCGATAATAGCAAGGAGTAAACGCGCCACTATTATTATTATTATATCCTATAATTCCTAGAGGGACATAGGGCTTCAGCCGTGCGTCTCCATTGAGTTCGGTTCTCTGCTAGAGTCTTCACCTGGCTCCAAGTCTGCCCATACGCTTTCAATTCTTCTCCACATGATCTCCTCCAGGTCACCCTTGGACGACCAACTCGTCGCTTCCCTTTCGGGTTCCACTCGAGCGATGGCTTGTTTAGTGATGTCACTTGGTGGTTCCCTCAGAGTATGGCCAATCCACCTCCATTTCTTCCTGCCTACTTGTTGCACAATTGGTTCCTGGTTTGTTCGCTCACTGCCAGAGATCTCTTTTGCTGATCATTTTTGGCCATTTGATCTTGAGTATTGAGCGAAGACAACTGTTAATGAAGGTCTGTAAACTGTTTGAGATGCTATTTATGACGCACCAAGTCTCTGTTCCGTATAATAGCACTGACTTCACATTGGAGTTGAAAATCCGGATCTTATTTTTGATGCTGAGTGCTGTTGACCTCCACACATACTTGAGAGTAGTGAAAGCTTGTCTTGCTTTTCCGATTCTTGCTTTGATATCCTCGTCAGTTCCGCCTGTAGTTGAAACGATGCTTCACAGGTAGGTAAAAGAGGTTGTCTCTTTCGGATTCCTCCCATTTGTGCTGATTGTAGTCTGTTGTTGTTGTTGCTGTTGGTGGTGTTGCCCGGGAATCTTCATCACCTGCCTCTGTTTTCTCTATGTTTACCCGAAGTCCTATCTTTGATGTTTCTTCTGCCAACTTGTTGATTTTCACTTGCATATCTTCCAGTTTGTGGGAAATCCGACATATATCATCGGCGAAGTCCAGATCCTCCAGTTTTTTTTAGTGAGTACATTTTATGCCTGTTTCCTCATTGCCCACCGCTGTCTGTCGCATTATCCAATCTACTGCAATAAGGAAAATCATTGGCGATAGTAGGCAGCCTTGTCTTACTCCTGTCCTCACTTCGAAGGGTTCCGTAAGTTTCCCGTTGTGGATTACTTGGCATGCAACATTGTCGTATAGCCGTTGGATGAGATGTATAATTGTCGGTGGCACACCGTAGTAGCAAAGTAGTTTCCAAATCACCTCTCGATCGACGCTGTCAAAGGCCTTTTCAAAGTCGATGAAGTTGAGATAGAGAGGTGACTGCCATTCCAGGCTTTGTCCAATGTTCAACGCGCCACTACGTGACTCCAAGTACAGAACCACTACAACAAAGGTGTTTTGAGAAACTATTTTCTTCAAGGTGGTGACTCTTTAACAGTCTTTATTCTCGATCTCAAACATAACTTGACCTATGGCCGTCATCTTCTAGGAAAGGGGTTACGCAACACTATTTGACCAAATAGATGGAACCAGATGACTCATGGTCTTCAAATTCTTCCTACTGGCAATGTGAGCTGACTTTCTTATGTTGTCATAGATGAATATCAGGCGTCGGTGGTTCAATTGGTAAGGACTCTCGCCGACCATGCACATGGTCCGGGGTTCGATCCCCTGCCGACGCACACCCGATATCTATGGTCGGCCTGTAAATTTGGGCTACCGATATCCATGCTGAAAATTCCATACTTGTACTGAAAATACGGTGTGGCATCAAGCTGTAATCAAAAAAAATTAAATTAAAAAAATACAGCTGGCACCACAGGTCACGAATTTGAATTTGAACAAAGCAAATTACTCATGAGAATGACACTTAAGGTGACAATAGCGTAAACATCATAGTTTCCTGACATAAAAATCTGCAGTCATACACCTATTGTTACATCAAGTAATATCAAGTCAGACCAACTTACAGAGTGTTTGCATCAATTTTTAGTGTTTGTTTAGTTAACTGACAATATAATTCTTCAGATAACCACGGTCGTTCATTTAATGTCTGTAAATGTAAAGATAATAATAATAACAGACGTTATAGAATTATCTAAGTGAATCAGTTACACCTAATAGTATGTACTTGTTTCAGTAACATCGAAAGGAACTTTCTGTAAACTGACTTACCTGGACTATTAATTTGAAAATCACATATTGAGGATATGTAGAAGGAATTTCTTTGGTAAAGCTTTGAATTACTATTGAAAGAAAAAAATAAATAAATAAAGACATTGTATTATTAATTGATGAAAGTCATTCAATAACTAATACTTGAAATAATAAAAGCTAACTGTCTGTCTGTCTGTCTGTCTGTTTTCGACATAGAACTTTGCACATATGTGCGGCAGTTCAAGTCGCCACAATCCATGTAGCACGCCGACCGATAGCTGCTATCCCGACCGATAGCTGCTACCTACCCGACCGATAGCTGCTACCTTGACGTGGTGGTCGGGCTTGAACACTGCAATGACCCAACAAGCTATAATGGCTGGAACTTATGTTCCTGCAGGTCCTACCATGCCAGAAAGGTTGTTTGGATAGCAGTTAGACTAAAAGCAGTTACCCAATCCAATCCTATGATTTCAAATAAATCACAAAATATCATGCCGGATCGGTCGGGGCCCGGATTAACAACGACCGCGCTTTCTGCTGCCGTGTCACAGGGCAGAAGTGATAAATACGCTTCTGAGACACACCATATAAAAAAGAACAAACAAAAACAGGCCGTGTGTGACCGGCCTCAAGCAGTTGTCCCCTGGGCTCTGCGGTCACGCAACCAACTTCCACGGTGTGGGCAGCCGGGAAGTAACAATCGCCCTCACAATCCGAAGTGCACGCGAAACCCCTCTAATCCTCGCTCATCTTTGTCTTCATCTTCATCTCTATTATCTTGCCTTCCTTCTACTAATGCAACTCCTCTACTTGTTGGCTCTTCACTTCCCCTTCACTCTGTGTGCACTGATAACGATGGAAGCCAAAAATAAAAGCTAACAGTTATATAGTAGCAGCTGGAGAAATAAATCATGTTATATCGAAAATCAGACCAGTGACTTCATTCTGTTTTATATGAAGTGAAATGTACAAATGAATTTAATGTGCTTTTTCATATTTCATTGTCATAAAGTAGAATCAAGCATGTTAAAGTTATTTCAATAAGCAGAGTTAACGCAACTACAAACAAAAGTGTTGTTAAGCTGGACAAAAGTGCATGTTACAGATTAAGTGAAGAATTAGAAACAGAAATATTAATTGTAAAAAAATTTTTTTTGTAACAAAACTATAAATCTATGAGTAATTAATAAAGCTTTCTACTTATGAGATTCATGGACAGATGCTTAATTTCAAGATCAACTTGTTCAGTAATCGAAATAATTTTGGAAATCATTGGAAAACAGAAAGTACTGGATATCCCATTAGTCTTCAACACTGTTGATTCTCCACACCATTACAGGTCAAAGCAAAATTTATAATACAATCACCATTCCAGTAGAAAACTGTGCGGAGCTTACTATCTGCTAGTTGCCAAAGTAGGATGACTATCACCCACTGTCAAGAAGCAATTAACTTAACACTTGACAATTAAACTAACTACAATCTGGCTTAAAAATGGCAAGTTGTCGTGATAAATACCATGCATAATAGGACACAACACAGTCCAACAGTGATGCGATGTCCACGCAAAATTCCAACTGTTCATTTATTGGTAATTTTACCGTTCTGTATGTTGGGGAGCCCTGAGTCAATGTTCAGTGATCATCATCACTACGGTCCATTAATAAAGGATGTCTGAAATCTTGTAATATCCCATTTTTCTGAAGGAGCAGGATTTCAATTCAATGACTGCATGATAAGTATGATCGAGTGTGATTCATGATTGTATCATGGATGCACTCTACTGAAAAGTCTTAAACTAGGAAGAAATAGCTTCACAATGTGCCATAATGTATATTTATGAAAAAAATTCAACTACAAATATATTTTATTGATTACTAATCTGGGACGGTGGTTAATTTATAACCAACAAATATATCATCTACGCTGCTGTGATAATTCAAATTAGGCGCTTCGACTAAGGCATACTTTAAGATATCAAAGATGTCAATGAGTAAATCTAATACACAAACACGAGTCAAATGAACAAGTAGATATTGCAGAAATACACAAAAAAAGTCTTCAAATGACTGAAAACTCACCTAAAACCAAAAGTTAACAAAATTTAGTCAGTCATTTCTATTTTATTTTAAATATTGAAAACCGATTATTTGGGAGGTTCACCCCTATACTTTATGCTTGTAAACACTAATCGTCAGAAGCTATTCAGAAGCTGAAAAGTTTCTGTAACTGTGTTGCTTAGGGCGATTTAATTATCTCTAAATCAGTTAATATAACAAATACATCAGAGTATCTATATTACAGCACTCAATGAACTAAATCTTAAACCATATAGGAAAGACCATCATTCATGTTATCAAGTAACAACTATAAGTGTCGGGTGCTACATACTGTTTGGTTGATTGAAATAAGATGTCGGATATCACTTCCTAGCCCAATCGATGTGGCTCAAACAGTCGGCGGGCATTCCGCTAGTTTCAGGCTGGTAGCATCAATGGTGTACTCTCAGTTCAGAGAGCGGAATTAGTCTACATCACTTCAATCTAAATAGCAAGCAGCACTGGTTGATGTAAGTGGAAACCACCAACCCATACCAATAAACCGTTAGCAGTATGATTGCATGATGCGACATACTGATGATTAGTTGATATTAATAATGGGATACCACTCATATCAACCAGTAGTGCTTGCTAGCCATTTCGAAGTGACCACTTTTTTTTACTGTTATTTATTGCATCAACAAGATCATATATATTATGATCTGAATAATATCGGTTTCCGGAACAAACCGTAGTTAAATTACACCTCAAACTGCGCAACTTGCAAATCATGAATTGATTTTCAAATTTGACTTTGATTCTCAGATTAAACTCGTTACATTTAGTCACTTCTTACCTTAAGTATCCATAAAACTGATTGCAAAATTCTGTTAGAAGTTCAAATCAATAGATTCACTAGACCAGACACAAATTCAGTTCCATATAATATTTAAACATTTTGAAATAAAACCTAATACTCTATCTAGTGTTAAAAGTTACTGTGTTGTACAAAGGGGGATAAATTTCAATGAGCAGTTAGTATCTGATCACTTTATGCAGCGTTATCGTCAATCTGAAATTATAAAATAAATAAATTTGCTTAGGATAATCTCTTTATAGTTACACCTTTAGTGAAAAGTACGGACAGATGGAAACAAAAAAGCATAATACTTGCTTAAGCAGTTAAAGCACAATTATGTTAAGCATTAGAATGTATACAGTGAAGTTATTTCCAATAATCAAATCACTAAGCATTTAAATAAATGAGAATTACACATACTGAGTAGGGAAAATACTGAAACTAAGGATATTATCTAGACAGAGTCATTCGAAAACAATTAACTTTTCCTTTAACTCAATTGGTGGGCGGTGACTACCAGTGGTGTCCAGGATGCGCATTTCGTCCTATTTAGGACTCGTTATCTGGATGTACCTGCATTTCCCAGTGAGTAATGATGTTACTACCGAGGCTCAAACGCAGTGCGCATATCAATCAACGGGAAAATCTAAAGGTAACTGAATAACTTTATCTACTTGAAAAAGGAGTATAAATCAGGTTCGTAAGGAAAATACCAATGAATAAATTAGTCGTTAAACTAATGATTTAAATTATACATGCGTTACCTAATGATAAAATATGACAGGAGTTATTTGATATTTCATAACTGTGAGTTGGTGTTGACATCTTAAAGGTGCTCCTAAGACAGATGATTTCTTAAATAAAGTATGTTATTCCAGAGTTTGACAGACAATTTTCTGATTGAACGCAATTTTTCCCGGTATAGAAGGCAATATGTGAAGTGATAATGTTCAGATAAGTAGTAATAATGAAAATCAGTTTCTTTAGGAAAATTATCCATGAAAGTTCTGTATGATTATAAGTATAAATCTGACCTGATATTTTAAAACATTCTACAATCATTTTCCTTTCCACACCAAGTGCAACGGGTATAATCACAAAGATGATAAACGAATTTATAATTAGCTGTTAGTTCTGTTATATTAATTAATTCAAAAAGATTTCGAAAACTTTAATAAAATCAGTTTAATTTTTGCTGTTCATTTGTTAAGCTTAAAGCAAAAGATGGTTAGATTAGCACACTATTGTTGTATTTCATACATACATGTAAATATATTCATTGATACATTCCTATCTCCGATTTGTGGAAAATTTAAAAGTGATCCTTCCTTGGGTGGCTCAGACTGCCAAATAAGTTGTTGTTTTATATCGTCTCTTTAATTAAAAAAGTGGGTGGGATTTAATCTTCAAAAATATTTTGACAGAACAGAATCACATAAAAATATAAGTATGAAATGATTAATAAAAATTCTGTAGAAATCATAAAATTGTTGAAGAATCAAACAAGTTATTGGAAAGTTTTACTTCATAGACTCCTTAATACTTCCAACTTACCTTAGACACTCTGAATCGATGACAGATGGTTGGAGATAGTCGGTAGGAAGCCTTAGATTAAGGTTTCATGCTTATTAGCGCTTGTCAGCAAGGCGTAAGTGCAATCATTAAGAAACTCAAATCCCTTTCGAGATTCAAACCTGCGTCACCCTGTGCCTCCGGCAGATACTTTGACATGAAGAAATTATAATGTCCAACAATGGCACGATTGGAGAGCTTTGTGCATTATCGATTAATAGTAGAATAACTTATAAATTTAGAAAAGTATCGAGGGGAATAAGTGACACAAAACGTTGAGAGAGAGTCAAAGTCAGATCCACATTACATTATACCTGGAAGTGGGATCATATATGAGCACGGTATTTTATTCCACGCCTGTCAATTGAAGTGTATACATATCTTGGTAAAAATTTGTATTGTCAGCGAAATCTAAACAGAGACATCAACTTATCATATTGCAAGGTATTACATACTGAGATTATCATATCTTCACATTTTTAATGTATCATTGAATGAGACATCTTGTCAACTCTGGACATCGAGCATCCCCACATGAATGCTTCCCAGTGGTACACAGAGTTCCTCAATATCACACAAAAGGGCTTCGAATACGCCATTTATACATAGCTCAATCACTGGCTGTTAGGGATCTGAAACGAGGTCTCTGAGTTCAAAAGCGCTGCATGCATTTACTTGCCCTGTCGTGGCCAGAGTAACGATCTTACTATAATATTGCTTCATTTTATTATTTAAGTTTATTATTATCATTATTCTCATCATCCTTATTTTATTACCACTCTACTACTGTTTATTAATAACATTGAGTTTTCATACAGATTTTACAAAAACACTTTTTCGTCTTTCCACTAGTTCTTGTCCACTCTACGCAACCATACTGATTAGTCATTTTCTCACACTTATTACGTCACCCCAACTTCTGCCTCTTTCCTAATTTCCAATTAGTCATCCCCTTCTAGATTACACCTTACATTATGTAATATATTTTCTAAGACAAATTTACCAGTATCTGATTGACCTTATGAATTTTTTGTTAAATATAATAACCATTATCCAGCTTATGGAAATGAATCGTCGACAAGAAAATTTTCCTCACTGTTTACGTCCTTTTCTTATAAATGGTTTTTGTTAAATTAGAGAATTTCTAAATTTCTTACGAGTTGATCACGGACTGATATCAGTTAGAGAACCATTGAAAACCAGGGAGTACTGGACAGCTGCTGTTTCAATGGTTCTCTAACTGATATCAGTCTGTGATCAACTCGTAAAACATAACTAATCCTTACAAACCAAACTATAGAAAATTTCTAAATTTCACTGGAATGTGTAATTTGGACGCAGCTATTGAATTCAAGAAGAAGAAGACTGGAAATCGTTTTCGATCAATGAAAATGTGGCTTACATTATTACTTCTAACGTTATCTACAGTGCTGCTTTCTACTTACTACTATCAAACATCTTATTGTCCATACGTAACAGTCAGGTAACAGGAGGATGTTATTAACCTGAAAAGATGTTTCAGATATTTGTAACTTATTTTCACTTCCAGTGGTGTGTTATATATTTCCCATTTAATGCTTCGCGGGCTACTAGTTTGCAAGATAAAATATATATGTCCAAAAGTTTTTACGGCCTCTGTTAATTTTAATTCAACGATCAGCTAATATCAAAGGAATTTCATGGACTAATAGATCCCTGGGCTAAGAAGAATGAGATATATGATGTTCGTGTTCTTCAACTGCCTTCCTTAACGTAAAATGTTAGCTGAAGTAGGATTTATTCTGCAGAAACCCATAGGGCGGTTAATTGGGAAACATGGCATCTACGAAGTACTTAACAGGTGGTGAAGAGAAAAGTGTGTATTACAAGAGCTCTTGTGATGAAGATTCGCATTTACATGATGAAGGATGCTACCCTGAAATGACTAGCAAGCCTAGTAAATAAACCAAGAAAACATGTGCAAAAGGAGATGATGGTAACTTTCAAGCCACAACGGTTTACATATCTCACACAGTAAATTTAACACGCTATGTAAAGCACACAGGTGACTAGTTTTAGCGAAGATTGAGGAATCAATTAAATCATGTTTTGTTTACATTTGTCGCTTGTCGTGAATTCGTATTGGGAATAGGTGTTAAGTCATTCTTCAAGAGTACTAAGTCAAAATGAGACTAGGAGGCAGGTTGTGGTAAATTATGAGGAACGAAAACGTGGACAAACATAAATATAATCAGAAGATTAACTAAACGAATGATTTTGAATATATTCACAATCAGTAAGCGAAATCACCCAACTGGATACACTACGTAACAGTATTTCTAACTCTCAATGCCAATGGATTTCTGTTTGTTTACTTTTAATGCACGGAAACTATAGAACTCTGATAGCTAATGCTTCAACGATGAACTTGATTACAACTTTGATGTTATTTGTTATGTAGTTGTAAGCAGTGGGATGCACAATGAGAAATTCATTCATAGTCAATAAAAAATGGAATGACAGGTACTGATTTGAGTCCAGGTGGTTACACTTTTGCACTGAAAGGCAGGTGAGAAATCCTGACAAGTCCTAAAAAAGACGAAATTAACATTTCAGATCCCACTGTTAGTTATCACCTACCTGTTCCGCGTAAGTGAATTTCAATAGTGACTACAAATTCAGTACTGGACTATATATGTCCAAACCAAGATCACTTTTAAGAGTTTAAAAAAAAACTCCAGCACTAGACTGTCCCGTTTTTACTAAACTTTAAACTGCTTTTGTTCAGGAAGTTACAAATTCGTAAGAAGAATAATATCACGAACTATCTCATTCAGTACAATATAAGATAAAATTATAAAATGTGCATCATAACTGCAATTACCTATTTAAAAAGTTTTGATGTGCAAACGGTAAGAGGGGATGTTCACTGAGTCTATTCTTCAATTGTTGACTTGATGAATCACTAGTAGAAGAATGCTTTGGTATAACAGAAGGATATGAAACTGGAGTAATATCACCATCTTCAGAAACACGACTGACAGATTCTTTAGTTTTTTCAAAATTATTGTCTTGTTTACTAGGTGACTGTACTCGTTTGCCAACAGTTGAAGATGATTTTCGACTACCAGGTATTGGTGAATGTAGTTCAGAATCTGATGACAGTGAATCAGAACTGTCAACAACTGTATAAGGTGAATTATTTGATTTATTAGGAATGTGATTACGTCTTCTTGGGATAACAGGTGGTTTCCTACTGATACTGGACACTTTCTTTGGTATAATTTCAGAAGTTAGAGTCGAAGTTGATTCGGAAAGTTCATCTGTAAGCAGGGCAGGACTACACACTAGTCGAAAAGCCACTTCAGGAGTAGACGTTTTACTTGACTGATATAAATTGTTAAATGGTGAACTTGGTGTATTGACTATGTAAACAATAATAAAATTTGAGTTAGGAAAAAGAAGAATTAGTATATAAAAACAACAGGATGATAATTATTCAAACTGCAAATATTTTAGTATATAAATTCAGAGATCCACCGATCAGATAAAAAGACAAATGCAGGACCTTTCTCTTAGCAAAGGGAAATTCCAAGTGAAAACCAATTTGAATGTACAGTTCAGAAGTGATGGACGCTATGCAGCAAGAAAACTGTTGTGAGTCAGTTACAGCTTAGTTAAGTCGACACAATCAACGCCTGAAACTGGTGCAAGGATGCCCACCAAGGACCACACTAGTGATCGAGTTTAAGAGCATCTTGTGCGTCTAGTTACCTATGGAGCCTCAAGAATTCTCCTTTGAGGTTAATTACACGAATAACAAAGACTATACTTTCATAAAAATGATGTGCTTTCATTGTCTAGACAGAAATGCAAGTGAATCGACAGCACTGTTGCAGAACTCTGTTGCTTTAAAATCCTCTACAAAGTTGGTATATGCAAACTATAAAACTCTGAATATGTGAATTTTGAATAAAAAAAGTCACTCGAATTCCAGCACATTCAGTTTCCCCTACGGCATATTTTGATTATTTCGAAGTGACAATCTCAATAATAAGTCCTCCCGAACCACTTATTATTATCGTGCTTATTATTTTCCTGAAATGTTGTTTCAAATCTAAAAATAAGCGTCGGATAAATCATAAGCTTTTACTTATCGCATTTATTCCCCTTGATGAGTTTGAATAAAGCAAGAACAAAAGTGGTTTGTGCAGAATAATATGGTACCATCATTTATTTCGTAGGCTTCTCATCAGCTGCTTACAGCCTAAATAAATTATGAGGTTTGCGTACAGAAAAGTTTTAACATACTTGCAAATTTTTACATGTTGCCAGTTGACAAAAAGTTCCACAGTAAGTGAACAGTGCTCAGAAAATTGCGCTTATATAGTTTTTACACAGACAGTTCAAGTTTAAACAAAATAGATGTATGCATACAATGGTAAAAGAGTTACGTAATAAAGACGAAATATGAGTTAGATACCGAGTGACTAATAAATTAGGTAACAATGTACTGAGTTCAACTCAAATCATAGAAACAAGAGACAAGCAAAATTACAGATTATAAAAGGGGGTGAGGTTAAAGACGAAGATTACGCAATCAGACGAGAGACTAAAGAAAAAAAGTTACCGGGGCAAGGAAAGACTAATAATTGCTTCTTTCTGAACACATAAATCTGGTTTCAAGCGTTTGATAGAGATTGCTTCGGCAAACTTGAGGAGAATGGAACTCCTTTGTCTATTGATAATTTTAAAGGATTTCTCGATTTCTACCTCATGACCCGTGTCGAAAAGATGTCTAGTGATAGCGCTGCTATAAGAGTTTGTTTGTCAACTGGCAACATGTAAAAATTTGCAAGTATGTTAAAACTTTTCTGTACGCAAACCTCATAATTTATTTAGGCTGTAAGCAGCTGATGAGAAGCCTACGAAATAAATGATGGTACCATATTATTCTGCACAAACCACTTTTGTTCTTGCTTTATTCGAACTTTTACTTATCATTTTGTATGTAGGTTATGTAATTTTCTCGTAACTTTCAGCTTTGAATGCAATAAATCATGTTGAATTCTCCAGATTTCTGACATAATTATAGTTTTAAAATATTCCATTAGCGCTATTCTCATACCTTTCCTCTTCATGTTTTCCTAAACTTCAGAGATAATGGCTGAACACTGAGAGCCTTACTACTCTTCCACTTGTTGGGTTTATTTACTTATCCGGCAGATTCAAGATTGATGTGGTGACTGACAATGTGTTAGAAGTAGTAATAAAGTGAAATAACTGTTTTATTTAACTTTTGATTTATTCATATCAGTTGTAATTCAACTGAAATGAAACCGAAAAAGTTTGCCATAGCTCCAAGGACGATAGACTTCCAATGGACTATTGAATTGTTTCTCAATTTTTAGTCGATTATCTGTACACTGAGACCAAGATTGTAACAATTGGGAGTCAATAATTTAATGAATGGATAGTGGATTCATATTACAAGAGTCTCTGTGCAGCTTAGGTGTAAAACAAATGATTCACGTTTATATTCACCTAAGCACCTGTGCTAACAAGTTTGTAAATTGTCCGAAACTCATTCCTGTATTATATTATGAAGTTCTACATTGATTAATATTATCATTAGTAATTTAATCTTATACTTTGACCTTTGTTTGTTACCAGTCATTAGTTATACATTTCTTTGTATCCTTCTAGATATTTTAATATTTTCTTATGCTAAGTTATCTTCCCTGAGCTATAACGACTATAAAGTTTTGTCTATCAAGACTGTGTTGTGCAGGCGAGGTTGGTGTTATCTCGACTCCCCAAGAACCTAAACGTTTTTAGCTGCTTCTCGATGACTTTCAGGTATAAGTATAGAAGTAAGTAGATGCACTTATATCATCCTTCAAATGAAGTGAACAGTATGAACTAAAAAAGTTCATGAATTCTGATGACCTTTGTTTTCTTTGATTTCTCACTGACAGCGTGTATAACGTAACAGAAAACAAAAGGTGGGTGTCAGCATAAACTCAATGAAACAGCAATAGTAATAGTTTACTTCTTATGTGAATTCACAACCCTTCTTCTTGGTCATTATTGACTGCAACAAATAAGTTATCTGACACGAAAACCTTTGTTGTTAACCAAATATTCACTGAAGACAGACCATTAATTACGGGTAAGATCAGTTATATAACACCATTCTACCCGGTTAACGAATTATATGACAGTGTCCCTAGATAGCAGTGAAATACACATTATCTCATTACAGGCATTTTAACCAAATTATCTTTGTTTAGCCAAACGTGGTTGCAATTAATTATAACGAATTTCATCACGAATGTTCATTGTCCTCATTTTCAATGGAATTTCCCCGCATACACACTACGGAAAACGACAATTTCTGCATTAATATTCTTTTCTACATTAGGTCTCATAATCAGTTTATACTATACAATGGACATAATTCTTACAAATAAAGACGGAAACAAAATGCATGGTCTATAAAACGTTTTTATTAAAGTGTAATATATTTTGTAAACTGGGCTCAGTTCGCAGATGTAAATTTTAGTTTCAAGGCAGGTAACTATCAAGACCACTTTCGACGTTAAAAATGAAGTGTATGAACGCATGGACATCCCGAAACAAACTGAAAAGATCCACCATCATTTTTCATTATGTAATGTATGCAAATGTCTGATAACAGTGAAGGATATTGTGAATTGCTAAACAGTGCTTTACTGTATATCTGCGGCACCAACTGCTGAAGAATGTAAGTTCTTAGCATTAAAGTTGACAAAACAAGATATGGTATTAAATCCTGAAATCTCTGCCCACTATCCTGAAGTACGTATGAAAATTGTCACTATTCGTAAAGACCACAATCTATTATTTCTCACTAAAAGTTAGATCAACTGGTGTGAGTTGTAGTCAACTAGACAATTGGAGTTCAGTTACAATTGCACCCTTAAATTAATCGTTCATTCAAATTAAAATCCCATTCCTGTATATCTCTGACATGGTCTTATGTCTCTTCACTGTACCACCTCGCTTAGTTTACTAACCGTTTATAGGCTCGATGAAGGAGGAGAGTTTAGGAATGGCGGTAGCAACCCAACCACTTAAAAACAACCCCATCGCTTCCGAAACTCCAAGAAACAAAATAATAAAGTTATTATCCTCTGGAATGGGAAAGGGTGGTTGACGCCGACAGGTGGGAACTTTCGAGGATCCAATGGGCCAGTGTATCTTCTTCAGATGAAAGCAAAGTAATTACAGGGACATCGAATGTCCGCATCATGTTTGACGTCGGTGAGGCTGATCAGATCGTAGAAAAAACGAAGGGTAAAGAATAGAATGAATGGGTACGGATGGAATGAAAGTGTGTCCTCTTAGTTATCAACTTCATTATCCACTCTTCTCACCCAAATGACAACCATAGACACATTGAGGGAGTGGCTATCATGATGTCACCAACAGCACTGAAGGCTACGATGTAATGGGAACCAATTTTCTCCAGGATGATTACCACAAGATTCAACTGTAAAGCTATGACAGTTAAAATTATCTAAAGATAATCTCCTACAAACAACGGAACAGTGTAGAAGAAGGTCAAATGAAATCTGTAACGGCCATAAGCCTAGTCAGATGGTGACATCAAAACTATAATGCGTCTTATAACTGCCAGCCAAACTCGAAGAAGGCAGCACAGGGCCAAGAGGTGTTTGATGAAATAAGTCAAAACGGGGAACTATTTACTTCTGCATCTTTTTTTGGTTTGTTGTATACAAGCACAAAGATATCTTTCCAGAAGACAACGTGGACATACTAAAAATCAATAGAGTGGAGACGCAGTCGACTGGGTGTAAAGTTAGAAAGAGATCCAGATTCAAATTCAGGTAGCTGTCATTAATGTTAGAGTAGAATTTGGGCTTTGTGGAAGAATATAATTCCATGTTAGATGCACTTATTTATTTTAACACACAGTGATAAGCTTAATAATACCACCACTGTGTCAAGTAAAAACTACACTTATCAGATCGCTGTATACTACAAACTGAACTGCTGCACTTGAGTGAAAATTCCTATGTTGTAAATCATTCAGTCATTAGTGCTGAGAGGACACCGCATCAAGCTGAAAGCCTTTAAAAATGATGAAAATAAACTGAAATTATAGTTCAACACTCAGAAACATAAGGACGAAGTTAGACAAGACATCTTCGCTGCAGTCATCACGAAATATCAAGGCCGTGAAACAACATAACGGAGAAAACTTGGGTGGTAAAAAACTTCGAACATCTGAAACTGATACGGGAGGAAGCTTGGATAGACAAGGAATAGTTCTCTGCTAACATCTGGAAACTGGTAGAGAATAAAAGGATGTTGAGGCAGAAGATGAACCACTACACAGATGAACAGCTAGGTTAGAAAT